TGGTATCAGAGCACTAGGCTCTAGATCACATATATGTTTCCATTTTCGTATTGCTCTTCTTGTTCTTTGTTTTGAAATTTTTGTTCTTATTGTTCATCTTATTACATTCTGTCCACGTATCTAAAATATAAAAAAAGTGTCATTTCCATTATTCTTTTCGTCTTGTTGTCTTCTATGAGTTTGTAGATCTCTATCTTATGTACAACTTTGTCTTCTTTCATATCTTCTGATTCAATTTGCTTATGGGTGAAAAGTTCGAAAATTGACATTCTGTTCTAGAAAACTGCTATACCCGAGAGCATGTGTTCTTCTTTGTTCTTTATCGGTTTTATAATTGTTTTTAATTATTTTTATAATTTAAGTATAAAAAGGTGTAATAAATATATATTAATTATTTAAAAAATAGAATCAGGGATGGAGACGGGGTCGGGACATGCATTTCCTATTTTTGGGACTCGACCCTACGAAATTTTTTATCTTCCCCATAATGTAGAGACATCAAAATACAAGTTTAGATAGATGTAAATAAGCTTTTGGAAGATAAATTTTAGAGAGATAAATAAAAAGATTTAGAAAAAAATTGTGAAATAAAAGTTAAAGACAAAAAGAGAAAAATTGTAGAGAAAAAAAATAAAGTCGAGAGGAAAAGATATGTTAAAGAAAAAAAGAAATTATAAAGAAAGAGAAATATTATAGTGGAAACAAATTTAGAGATAAAAACAAGATTTAAAATATAATTTTTAGAGAAAATAAATAAATACAAAGATAAATAAAAGTTACAGTGAAAGAAAATTGAAGGAGAAAATAAAATATAATTTTCAGAGGAAAAAATAAATTACGAAAAGAAAGAAAAGTTATAAAAAATTAAATTTTAGAGAGAAAAAGATTAGGAAAAAATATTAAATTTTTAGAGATAAGTGAAATTGGTCTGTTAGAAAAAAAAATACAGAAAAAATTTAGAGAGAAACAAGTAATAAATATTCAAAATATGAAAAATTTTAGACGGAGAAAAATAAAGTTTGTACGGAGAAATTTAGAAATAAAAAAAAGAAAGTTAGAGTGAGAAATAAATTTTTTAGAGCTAAATGAGAAAGAAAAAAAAAGTTGATTATTAGATGAAAAAAAATCAGATTTTGAAAAACAAAAACTTGTTTTTACTTATTTTTTTTTTTAAACTTACATAGAATTTTAAAATGATTTTTGAAAAACAAGAAAAAAAAACAATTTTTGAAAAACTAAAAATAGTTTTTAAAAACAAAAAACAAACAACATTTATCAACCATATATGAGTTTTGTTTTTTAAAAATTGAAAATAAAAAACAAAAAACTTAGGACCGTTTCATTTCATTTTTTGTTTTTAATTTTTGGTTTTTGGTTTTTAGTTTTTTAGAAACATGTTGTTTGATAACCAATTCAATTTTCTGTTATTTGTTTTTTAAAAACAATTTTAAAATTCTATGTAATTTAAAAAAAAAAAAGTAGTTTTCAAAAACAGGTTTGTGTTTTTCAAAATCTGATTTTTTTCTTCTAATACTCAACTTTTTTTTTCTTTCTCATATTTATCTCTAAAAAATTTATTTCTCACTCTAAAATTTTTTTATTTCTAAATTTCTCCGTACAAACTTTATTTTTCTCTTTCTAAAAGTTTCATATTTTGAATATTTATTATTATTTGTCTCCTTCTAAATTTTTCTAAATTTTTTTTTATTTTTTTTAATAGATTAGTTTCATTTATCTCTCTAAAAATTTAATTTTTTCATAACTTTTTTCTCTCTAAAATTTCACTTTTTATAACTTTTCTTTCTTTTCGTAATCTATTTTTTTTCTGAAAATTATATTTTATTTTCTCGTTTAATTTTCTTTCGCTGTAACTTTTATTTATGTCTGTATTTATTTATTTATTTTCTCTAAAAATTATATTTTGAATCTTATTTTTATCTCTAAATATGTTTCCACTATAATTTGTCTTTCTTTATAATTTTTTTTCTTTAACATATCTTTTCCTCTCGACTTTACTTTTTTTTTTCTCTAAAATTTTTATCTTTTTTTCTTTAACTTTTTCTTTCACTGTTTTTTTCTAAATTTTTTTATTTATCTTTCTAAAATTTATGTTCCAAGAGTTTGTTTACGTCTTCATGTCTCTACATTAGGGTATAACAAAAATTTCCGCAGGGTCGGGTCCCAAAAATAGGAAATGCATGTCCCGACCCCGTCCCCGATTCCCTTTTTTTATAATTAATATATATTTATTACACTTTTTTATACATAAATTCTAAAAATAATTAAAAACAATTATAAAACCGATAATTTTTCTCGAGAACATCTCTCGGGCCCAAGAACAAGGTGAAGATGGAGACTACAAATTTTCACGAGTACAAGAATGGGGGAAAGCATCCTCACTCCCACCCACATCATTGTCATCCCTAATGTACCTAAAATTTTTTCTCTCTAATTGTATTGTAAATTTTGTAACTTTTTAAAAACCAAAAACCAAAAAAAAAATTTGTTATGAAACGGCCCTTAAAAACAAAAAACAAAAAAAAAACCAAAAATCAAAAAGTGAAATCATGTCAGTTTTTCCACTTTTATTTCTCTAATAAAATCAAAGTTCAAGTACCAGCCTGGCACCTCAAAAAAAAAAAGAACCCAGATTGGAAGTCATCAACAACAATATTTCATAAAAAAATTATTTGGATGAATTTGAACTTATAAATGCCATGGTTTTGAAGAACAACAGTTTTATAATGTTTATTTTTCAAATCTCTTGAAAGCACCACAATATTTTAATGCAATTAGACACACTTTAATAGGTAGATTTGGATTTGTTTTATACAAACAAATACAAGTTGCAACTTGCAAGTGGGTTTATAGATAAGTCAAAAGGAAAGGCCAATGAAAAAAAAAAAGTGTTATCATTAACTGGCCTTCATTTCTTTCATACATATACTAAATTATATATTTAATCCTTATACTTCAATATACTTCAATGTTTCAAAAAAATTTATTATCGATCATATTTTCTTATATAGCAAAACAATATCGACCAAATCTAACCCTATTTGAATAAAGAAATAATTTTTTGATTTTGTTAGATCGCAACAACACCTTTTTATTTATTTAGGTAACAAAACTTTCATTCAGATAAAAATAAAAGAACAAAAATGAGCCAACCAACACAAAGAGGCTCCAATCTAACAAAATAAGATCTAAGGGATAATTACTAAAGTTTTTAACCACTCAGAATCAAAGTGAAACATGAAATCTACCGAGAGATTAAACCCTTTTCCCAAGATCTCTCCACCCTCGAATTAAAAACTCTATCGTTTCTCTTCATCCACGAATCCCATAAAATAGCACAACTCCAAGCGAGCCAAAGATAACACCTCTTATCATGAAAGGGCGAGCTAGTGAGCAGCTCCCCACTAGCACACGCACACGTACAATCGTTCAGACGAGCAAGGCTGAAACCAAACTCTTCAAAAAATTGTTCAGATGAAGTAGGAAAAATAGCAAATCCAAAGAAACCAAGACGTTTTTAATGCACACATCATAAAAAATAAGGTATCATACACAAAAATGAATAAAGGAAAGAAGAAAAAAAATTAAAAAGGCACCTAAGGGCTAGTTTGGTAACATTCCCGTTTCTTGTTTCTCATTTCCAATTTCTTTAATAAATCTAAGCATTTTACGACTAACTTTGTTTCTTGTTTCTTCTTTTCTGAAACATTCTCTCAATTATATAGAAATTTTGAAAACAACCCTCCTTTATTGTTCTCATTTCCAATTTGTTCTAAAACATAAATAAAAAGATTGTGATGTTGGAACCATGCCATACATTTTTCTTCATTAAAAATGAAGAAACATAAACAAGAAACAAGAACGTTACCAAACGAGTCCTAAATTTTTGACAAGGACATAATGGAATTATCATGGTCATCTAAAGTTTCCATTATTATATAACTAAAGTTGGAAAGGAATGTAAACTCTGGTGCAGCTCAAAATTGTTTTAAGTTAGATCACTTGATTTTTTTGGCATATCAGACATATTTTTTGCCATTATTCTCTATGAGGAATTACAAAGCAATTATTGCGAAAGAAAACAAGAAAATCAACTTTGAAAAAGCAAAAGCTAAACCCTAGTGCACATTTCTTTTGGAAAACCCTATTAATGGTGGGTTTATTAATTAATTAGACATTTTAAAATTTTAATTTATTCAATCTGTTCAGCCACTTTTCTGAAAATACCTTTTGCCATATATATAAAAGAGAAAAAAACCCTTTAATGGTTAAAATCAATTTCTTTTCGTCCGGATGGATGGCTGGGATGTTTGGAACCTCAAGAAATATCCTTTCAATCCTGGATTCAAGTCCCGTGGAACGCAACTCTACTAAGCGATGACTGTATGTACGGGTATGGGTCAAAGTACCGTCGACTCCTGGATAATAATAATAAAAAATTCAATCTCTTTCCTTGGGTTAGATGCATTAATAATTCAGTTAGAGTCTTCTCTCGGTTAGATATGTTAATAATTCCGTTAGTCATCTCAACTAGACTCATTCACGCCATATTCTTTCTTCAGTTAGATCTGTTAATGATTCCGTTAGTCAACTCAACTAGGCTCATTCACGCCATGTTCCTCCCCTTTAAATCTCATATATATATATATATATAGATTATTTTTTATTTTTTATTTTTTATTTTTTAATGTCGTAGCCATTGAAAAAGATTGATAGCCAAACCAAAGGGATGAGGGAAGGAAACAGCAATTAAATTTGAGGGAAATTTGAAGGTGACATGCCTACATCTCCCACCTTTCTCGCAACTGCGTTTCCAACCTGCCCCTTTTGATTTTCTCTACTACCAATTTATTCTCCTCTCTCTCAAATTTAATATAATAATTGCTATAAACATAAAAGTAGACTATATATATATATGTATAATGTTTAGGGCTTCTCTTTCTACGACATTCTATTCATCTCTTTGAGCTTAGACTCTCACTCTTAAGGTCACGGTCTCATCTCATCTCTCTCACGCCGTTCGTCGACATTTTATCGATTTCTTCTATCGTCGTTCATCTATCGTTGTCGTTCGTTGTTCGCCGTAGGCCTCACTCTCATCTCTTTCACGTTGCGGAGTCAACAATTTCATCCATCTCCATTCTCCGCAATCAGCCACACGAGGTACTTGTTCCTTTTCTTATCCTTTTTTTCTCATTCTCTATTCTCTAGCCAACTCTCACACTTGTTTTTGCTTCAAATCTATCGTTGGGTTTATGTTCCATCTAACCTTGTTTCTGTTCGGTGCGTTGTGAAGTTTCCATGATTTGTTTTTGGGTTGATTGCAAACTTGATGGTAAACTTTTCTAGTTTAATTGAACTTACTGGTGCATCGCTCCTCATTATACCAATCCATAACCCGATCCAACAAATCTCTCTAACACCGATTTTTCCTCTCTTATCGCTTCGCTCCCCAACAAATCTCTTTCTTCCTAAACAAATCTCTTAAACGGTTATCTTTCTCTTCTTTCTGTTACTCTCTAATTTTTCTCAAATCTAAATTTTCTGTCTAAATATTTATTTTCGTATAAAAAATTTATTTACCACCATTTTCTCTCTCACGTTTTGGTCTCCATCTCTCTAAATGCTGTCTATAAAGTTTTTCACTTTTATTCCCTGCTTGAAATATATTTTTCTCTGTAACATATATCTATTTATTTAACTTTACAAATAGTAAAAATAATAATCAAATAAGTTTTTTTTTATTTTATTTTAAACAATCCAAACATAGCAGTAGAAAACATGAATTAAAAATCAGGAGGTCATTCCTCCAACTAGATGGAATCTAACAGCAGACTTCAAACCTCTTTTAGCCATCTTGTGAGTCACCTCATTCCCTCTCCTTTTGACAAAACCGATAGACACCACCGCCTCCTTCAACTCCCTAACCTTTATCATTGCAACAAAATGACCAATCTCATAAATATCATCGGCTTCAAATTGCAATAGGCTGAAGATACGGTATGAATCCATTTCCAAAACACACAGAAACAAAGCCATCTCCCAAGCTTAGCCGAATTCCAAAGTTCACCGCCATAGCCTCCACCATATCAACACCTACCACATCCGCTACCTGTAAAGCTGATGATTAAAAAAAAACTAAAACTAAAAAGGTCCCGAGAACTTATAAATATTTATAAAAAATGAAACATAAGCAAAAATAAAATGATAAAAATGACCTGTAATCGAACTAAATTTTTTAAAATAGGAAAAGTAAAGCAAATTTATTATGAAGTAGAGTCATAGTTCCTAAAACTCTATTTTTAATTTTCAGTAAACATGTTTCAAAAATTTAAATTCCTTTATCGTGAAAAAAAAATATTTCTTCGGGTAAGATTTTGCAAATAGTGGAGGGGGAAGGGAGTTGCACCGGGTGGCTATGTCTTTAGTCTTATTCGTAAAAATGTCAACCTCTTTTATATTTTATAAATAAGGCAAAAATTTTAAATTTTTTTATTTTGAAAGTTTGATTATTTCAATTTTACCCATATAAGTACATCTGATATACCTATGATATATGTACCTGCAATATACATATGATGTATATCGTATATCTTATTTCTAACATATTTATAATATACCTCTGACATATATACGGGATGTTAAAGGTTAGTCCATCTCTTAGACGTTTTTTTAGATAATCTTCTCAACTTCTTATTTTACAAATGAGCAAGAGATTTAAATTTTTATTTTTGGAATTTTATTATTCCAATTTTTATAACATCTTACAAATATAGCAAGAGATTTTGGCTTTGCAAATATGGCAAAATTATTTGAAATATTATTTTTTTTTAATTCGAAATTTACGGTTCCCTATTTTGTTTGAGACCTCACATGTTTATTCCCTTTCTTGGTCCTTTTCCGAATCTAGAACTTCCAACTTCTACAACCAATTGTAGAATCTAAAATTTTCATTTTCTACAGAGCTCTGCAGCTCATTATCATTCAAGCTGAATTTAAAACTTTTGGCTCAAACTGAAACTTCCGACTCTGCTACAAATCTTCTTCTTCGTTTAAGCGTTCTTCTTCTTCGTCATTCACATTGAAACTTCCAGCTTCACACTTATCATTGTTCAAGCTCATCTTCTTCTTCACTTTTTTCTCGGGGCTCATAAGAGAAAATGAGGAAAATTGAATATAAATTTTAAAATCATGGGTTAGTTGTTTTTTTCTTTTTTTTAATTGAACCCACTTTGGAGTCTATCCAGATTTTCTTTTTTTTTCCTTTTTTTTTTCTCTTAGTCTCTTGGTTTTTTTTTCAAAGGATTTGATTCTTATTTTCTGTTGGTTTATTTGTCAATTAGAGCTTGTGGAATACAATGATGAATATCAAGTATTATTATACCTTTGATGAATATCAAACATTGGTTTCTAACACCACTGTTTTCTATTTGAAACATATATTTCTTATCATTTCAGGAAAATACATGATTTTCAAGTTTCAATATTTGCAACCAATTTATTCATTTTCAGTGCATATCATAGTTAAAACAAGAGATATCATAATTATATTAGGGACAAATCAGTAGTATATCAGTGGTATATCAAGTATACATTAGACAATATCATAGCTATATCAGTAGTCAATCAATGATAAATTAATATGATATCAATAAATTATCAACAAATTGGCAAACATATGATTAAATTCAAAATACCTTGCATATTAAAAAAAAGACTCATTGTCATATCATTCAAAAAACTAGTGGATATATTAGTACTATATCAAAACACATATTAGAGTTAATATATTTGAAATCATTGGTATAACAATGATATATCGTTACTGTTCAATCAATATTAAATCAATGGTACATCATATAATTATATCAGAAGTATATATCAAGATACATATATCATAGTTATATCAGAGGTATATCAGTGGTAAATTAGAGGTATGTCAAATATATGTTAGTTGTAAATCAATGACAAATCATATAATCATATCAGAAGTTATATCACTATATCTTATAGTTATAACAAAAGTAAATCAATTGTATGTCAGTGGTACATTAGTGGTATATCAAAGGTATATCAAATATATATCAAACATATATTAGTGTTATAGCAATAGTAAATCAATAAAAATGATAAATTATATAATCATATAAGAAGTTATATAAATAAATATTATAGTTATATCAGTAGTATATCAATTGTATATAAGTGAGATATCAGTTGTATATCAGTGACAAATCAGAGGTATATCAAGTATATATCAAACATACATCACTGATATTAATATTTTGAGCTTTCAGAGTAAATTGAACCTTTTACAATTTGAGCCTCTGTTTTGTCTTTTAAATTGCCATGTTTGCAAAAGCTAAATGTGTAGGTTAACTGTGTTATTTTACTTAATTTGTTTTGCAATTATTACAAGTGTCCCTTAAAAAATTAAGACTAAAAAGTTTTCTTTCTATCTTACCCGTTTACATTTTCAAAATTTTCAAAGTTATATATATATATATATAAAGCAAAAATGTAAAATTTTTCCCATCCCTTTAAAAATTTATTGTTCCCGTCGCGTGCATATAATTCGTTCTATTTTAATCCACTATTCTTACAATAATAATATATTTGTTTCATTTCATAAATATTTAGATCATTTTACCATCTCCAATCCAACAACCTACAGGGACAACCAAGTATTTGAAGGGAGAAAAGGACAATAATGGATGTTTTCATCTCAGTTGGAGCAAAAGTTGTACAATACACAGTTGCACCCATTGGACGTCAACTAGCTTACCTCTTTTTCTACAATAGAAATATTAAGGATCTTGAAAAACAACTTGAAAATCTTAAGGCTACTAGAGAAAGAGTGCAAATGTTGGTCAATGAGGCAAGAAGCAACGCATATGAAATCTATGACGAAGTCTCAACATGGTTGTTGGTTGAAGTGGATGTTGAACTACCCAATATGCCACGACAAAAAGAAGATGGATCACATAGGAACAGTTCTAATCTATCGTGCCTTAATTTTGTCCAACGTCATAAGCTAAGTAGAAAGTCAAAGAAGAGGGTGAAAGATATTCTTCAACTCATAGAGGAAGGAAAGAAGTTTGAAAAAGTTGGTCATCCGGCACCTCTTCCAGATACTAAAAGTTCTACTCTTCCTGCAGATTATCAAGTTTTAGAATCAAGAACGTTAATGGCCGAAAAAATTAAGGATGCACTTTCAAATCCTAATGTTAATAAGGTTGGAGTATGTGGTATGGCAGGTGTTGGAAAAACTAAGTTGTTGGATGAAATTAAGAAATTAGTATTGGAAAATAAATTGTTTGATCGAGTGATTGACGTGACTGTAGGGCGATCTAATGGTGTAGTAGAGATACAAGATCAAATTGGAGGAAAGTTAAATATGGGACTAAGTATGAAGGCAGAAACTAAGGAGGGAAGAGCGCCTTTCCTACGAAATAAGTTGGTTGAGATGAAAGATAAGATCCTTATTATGTTGGATGACTTGTGGAATGAATATGATCTTGAAAAAGAGGTTGGGATTCCTTGTCGTTCTGAATCAAGTAAAGAAGGATGTAAGATACTTATGACAAGTCGATCTCGAGATATATTAACAAATAAAATGAATACAAAAAAGTGTTTTCAGGTGAATTCCCTAAGTGAAGATGAGTCTTGGAAGTTTTTTATGGCAATAGTTGGAGAGTTTGATAAAAGTCGTATAGAACACATAGCGAAGAATGTGGTAAAAAAATGTGGAGGATTACCAATTGCACTTAAAATTATTGCAAAAGCATTGAAAGGAAAAGAAATACATATTTGGAAGGATGCTTTCGAGAAATTGGAAAAACATGTTTTAGTGAAAATTAAAGGAGTGAGTGACCAATTGTATTCTTGCCTTAAGTTGAGTTACGATTGGATAGAAGATGAAGAAACTCGATTGCTATTTCTTCTATGTAGTGTATTTCCAGATGATCACAACATTTGTGTGAAAGATTTGCAGATGTATGCTATGGGTATGGGATTGCTAAATGACATAAATAATTGGGAAGCAACAAAGAATAGGGTAATTGACTTGGTTGATGATCTTAAATCGTCCTATTTACTTCTAGAATCCAATTCTGGGGATAATTATGTTCAAATGCATGATGTGGTTCGCGATGTTGCCAAATACATTGCATCAAATGATGATAAAATGTCTTCATTGAGCTATGGGTGTGGACAAAGTGAATGGCTAGAAGAGGATAGATCCGGATCTTATAATGCAATCTTTGTAGATTGTATGGACTTTTCCAGCCTTCCTTCAAACTTCGAGTTTCCAAACCTTCAGTTGTTAATATTAGGAATGCCATCGTTTTTTGGGGAAGGGGAAGCTATTCAAATTCCGGGTGCTTTCTTTGAAGGAATGGAAAAGCTTAGAGTTTTGGACATGACAAAAATGTGTTTTGAACCATCAAGGACATCAGTAACTCACTCATTAAAGAACCTTCAAACATTATGTATGTCATATTGTGAATATTATGATATTGATACAATTGGTCAGCTAAAGAAATTGAAAATTCTGAAAATTAACGATTGTACATTTGAAGAGCTACCTGCAAATATGAGTCAATTGACACAGTTAAGGTTGCTAGATCTGTCGAATTGCTCCAACTTGAAGGTGATTCCTATAAACATTATTTCAAGTATGACAAAACTGGAAGAGTTAAATTTATGGCGGAGCTTCAAAAGATGGGGGGAGGAAATATCATACAGAAATAAATTGATTCAGAATGTCAAACTTTCTGAATTGAATCATCTATCACGTCTTTCTAATTTAAGGTTAGAAATTCCAAATGTTAACATTTTTTCAGATGATTTGAGTTTAGAAAGAGTTGAGAAATTAGAAGAATTTTGTATTTGTGTTGGTAATGACTCTTGGGGTTTTAGAATATGCGACGGATATGCAAGAAGGTTGATGGTTAATATAAAATCACAAATTGTTGCAATTGGTGGGACACTTCAAATACTATTGGAAGGATGTGAGCAATTGTATATAGAAGATACAGTGGGCTTTACAAATTGTCTTTTCAAACTAAACGGAAATTATTGTAATCCCCGTTTGAAGCATCTCCACATTGAAGGAAATTCAGAAATGCCACGTCGAATTGATGTTCAGGTAGTAAAAGCTCATTCCCATTTTTTCGCTTTCTCTTTTAAAAAAATTCTCTCTCTTTACATCCAAATTCTAACAAAAACAAAAGTAGATTTTAAGGGTTTCTTCTTAATTTTTTCCCTAAATTTTCGTAAAGATTTTAAAAAGAAAACCAAGAAATTGTTAGTGAACAAGTTTAGTTTTTTAAATTGTCATCAAATAGATCATATAAATTGCAACTTTATATCTTTTAAGTTTTATTTACTTTGTTTAATTAAATGGTTATAAAACTGCAGGTTTCATTTCCTGAGTTGAAGGAGTTAACAATCCAAGGAGGAAATAATTTGGAGATGTTATGGCATAATAATAGGCTAATTGCAAATTCCTTTTGCAAACTCCGAAGTATATGTATTTCATGTTGCAACAAATTAACGTACATGTTTACTTCAAATATGGTGACATCACTTGTTTTCTTAAATACATTAGAAATCGATAACTGTGAGTTATTAGAAAGGATATTTGAAATTGGAAAGTTGGTTGATGATGCCAAAGTACTGCCATTGACAGACTTAAGTTTAAGGTCTTTACCGAATTTAAAGTACGTATGGAACAACGATCCTGGTGAATTTCTTACCTTTCCAAATCTCAAAAACGTCAATGTTTCTAGTTGCCCTCGACTTAAATGTCTTTTTCCAGCTTCCTTCATCAAACATATTGAAGAAATTGAAAGTTTATGCGCATATGAGGTAGATGAAATCTTTTCAGAAGATGAAGCCTCCAAGTTAGGGTTCCCCGAGGTAATGCATCTTTGAAACTTATAACCTATTTATGCAACATTTTATATCTGTTTCTATTTGGTACTAACTTTTATTTTACTTCTTTAAATAAAACATTTACGGATAAAGAACCACTGTTGTTTACATTTTTCATGATGCTGAATAAAAAACAGTTATAATTAAAATAATTGTTAAGAAACTTTGTTCGTTTTCAGATTGTCTTTCGAAGCTTGCAAATTTTGGAAATGGTAGTGAAGAGAAGCTTTTGGTTTAGATCAGGGTCATTTCCAAAATTGCATAATCTTAAATTGAAGGGCGGTGAAGATGACGATCTGGTTACTTTGCCATTGGAAATGAGTCAAGAATTATACAATATTGAAGTGAAGAAATGTGACAAGTTGAAGTTTTTACTGCCATCATCAACCACATTCTTCAACTTGGGTTCTCTTATCATTGAAGATTGCAATGGAATGATGAATCTATTCAACACTTTGGTGGCAAAAAATCTAGTAAATCTTTGTTTAATAAAAATATGTGATTGTAGAGGAATAACTTCCATAGTTGCAGAAGAAGTAGAAGAAGAAGAGGGAGAAGAAATTATTTTCAACCATTTGATTAGATTGGAACTTAGAGATTTGCCAAGACTAGCAAATTTTTACTCTGGAAAATGTGCGCTTAAGTTTCCCTACTTGGAGCGGTTGATAATAGAAGGATGCCCAAAAATGAAGACATTTTCCTTTGGAATAAAAAGGTAGGCCAAGTTGGAATACATAAAGGTGGGCACGTCAATTAAACAATGGAGACTAATAGCCAACCATAGTTTGAGATACACCGAGTTCATTTTGGTAGACCGTCGTACCATTAATTGCATCAACACTTCCAAACAATTTGATTCTATTAGGCTGGTCAAACCCCTTCACAAATTGCAAGAACTTGTAGTAAAAAATGGAGAGAGATGTTCATGGTACACATCATAGCTGCCACAATCTGATTTCTACGATTGCAAAGGACGATCCCCACTCCAGTTTGCAGAGAGCGAGAATAACAAGCTGCATCTGTATTCCCTTTGATTACGCCATTATTTGGAGACTTCCATTGAGAATTACCAGGTATGGATTTCTTAATCGTACTATTCTTCCCCTCTCAATTTCTTCCATAGAGTTATGAAATTCATCACTATACAGCAAAATCCATTTCATTTATCATCAACACACACACAACATATTTTCCATTAAATGCCTCATTCCTATCATTCCAGATCGTCATTTCAATATGGTTCAAATTAGTCATCAACATGTCGCAGAGATCAATGAAACTACTGTATTGAGGTTAGCGTCAATCTCCGCTGCTGGGAGAATTTTTCTTTTCCAAATATGCTTTTGCTCTCTTACACCTCACCAACCCACGGTCTACAATTTCCATCTTCTTCACACAACAGGGGTAGAAAGTTACCACCCCCATCCCTTTTCTGTACAAATATTTTTCTTTACAAGAAGTCCATTATGGATAATCGGTCATTTGTTGAAGTATTAAAGAGTTTTTGCAATATGTGTAGCTTATAACCACTTTTTATCATGTATAGAACTTGTTTATCAAAATGTCATGTCAACCTGTCCTCCCATTTGTCTAACTAATTGGAATTTTAATAATGGCTTGTACATCTGCTTCATTCACCCTTAGTTTAGGTAGATTCCACACGTTCGTATGGGTAATATGATAGAAGTGTGTGATCAACACTCACAAATTTAAAATAACATGACTTTTTTTAGAGTAACAACTTCACTTGTATTGAAATTTTCTCATAGAATACACACTTGGTTCAACAATCTCTGTCAAATTCTATTGGTTTTCTTATCCACACACTCCCTCGTAATACATTAAAGGCAATTCTAGTTATAGGATTCCATGAAATAGTATAGGCTCCATATTTACTCAAATCTTATGAACCCATACATTCACGAACATATAATTAACCTACCATCAACACCTAAATATATGAATATACTTAATTAAATAGTAGTTCATGTACATGTATAATGTATGTAGGAACGTAGTGGTTCATGTATTGGAAAATTAACGTTTTTAATTTTGAACATCCCCTTGAACATGTCTTCCTCAAAACTCCAAGTAAATTCCTCAACTTGTTAAAGACAATAACTTTGAGTGGCTTTGTGAACATATCAACAATTTGATATTTGGTCTTCACAAAATCCACTTGAATCTCCTTTTTCGAAACACATTCTTTGATGAAGTGAATTCTCGTATCAATGTGCTTGCTTCAATCACGGAACACTGGATTCTTCGCTAGAGTAATTGTTGACTTATTGCCTTAAGCAGGTTTCTCAACCAAACTACATGACATACATATGTTGATGCAACAATCTATTATGCCTACTTTTTAGAACTCCAAGTAAAAAAGCAGTATTGCCAATAAAGAACACAAGTCTACTGGTGCTTTTTCGCATTTTTGGAATCTCCAACCCAATCACTATCACAATAACCTTCAAGTTTGAATTCTCCAGATGAAGAATAAAATATGTTATAATCCAATGTAGTTTTGAAATAACGAATAATTATCTTCGCTACTTCCAAATGAGGATTCGTAGGAGATTCCATAAACCGACTCACAAATCGAACAGTGAAAATTCAAGTCTTGTGCACGTTAAAACATCTCAAGCTCCTAATTACGTTTTTGAAATATGAAGGATCAACAACATCTCTATCTGCATATTTTGACAATTTCATTCCATATTTGATCAGAGTTACAACTGGTTTATAATTGAACACCCGAGTTTCCCAAGAATTTTTCTAATGTATCATTCTTGAGAGATAACAATTTCTTCCTCTGATTGATTTACCTCAATGCCAAGATAATATGACATCAGGGCAATATGACTGGTCTCAAACTCTTAGATTATTGTCTTTCTAAATTCATCAAACATGTTTGGATATTTTCCTGTAAAAATGAAGTCATCTACATATAGACAAACCAACAAAATATCTTCATGATCGTTAGTCTTTATATAAAGAGAATGTTCACGAGGGCATATTAAATACTCATTGTCATAGAAATATTTGTCAATTATACTATTCGCCATCCTTAGAGTTTGTTTCAACCCATACAACGCCTTGTTCAAGTTTTTAACTTTATCTTCCTATAGTTTCACCACAAAATCAAAGAAGCTATTCAAACTACATTTCTTCTTCAAGATATTAATTTAAAAATGCTAACTTGAGATCGATATGAAAAATGTTTCATCTATTTTGAGTAGCAACTGCAATCAACAATCTTATGGTCTCCAAGTGAGCAATAGAAGCAAATACTTCATCATAATCAACATTGTTTCTCTGAGAGTAGCTTTTCGCAACTAATCTCACTTTATGTTCTCTCCACTTCTCCTCTTAATTTATCTTTGTCTCGAACACCCATTTGACACCTACTGCTTTCTTTCCACTTGGAATAGTAGAAAGCTCTCACGTAACGTTCTTCTTTAGAGCCTTTATATCGTCATCCATTGCGATCTTCCACTTTTCATCACATGCAGCTTCTTCAAAATGTAAAGGTTCACTATCACCAAATAGACAAAAGAGAGTAAGATCATTAAAACTTTCACTTAACTCTTCAATTTCATCATATATGTCTCGTAAACTTCTCATGTGATGAGGCCCTTCATTTAAACTTGATGTAGATGATGATGGTGTGGTTTGTAATGACGTGATTGATGATGGATGTGGTATTGATGAAGAAGCAATATGACCAGTTTCATCACTATCTTAAAAAAAAAATTGATACTTATAGTCTTCTGCTTCATCAGTCAAGATCCATGTAGCTTATTCATCAAACATGACATCTCCGCTTACCACCATCTTCTTCGTAGCAAGATTGTAAAGCTTGTAGCCTTTTGAGCTTACATCTTAGCCAACGAAAATATGTTTCTCACCTTTATCATCGAGCTTACCACGCTTTTGATCTAGTACATGGGCATAAGCAATACTCCAAAATACTCTAAGATGGAAAATAGATGGTTTTCTTCTCATCTATGCTTGTTGCAGAGTTTTATTGCACACATTTGTAGTGGGAGAATGATTTGATAAATATACAACCCATTGACCGCTTGTTATCACAACTCTTCTAGCATCTTCTTACTCTTCAACATGCTTCTAGCATATTGAGTATAGTTCTATTTTTCCTCTCAACTACACCATTCTATTGTGGAGTCCATGAAACTTTCATGGGCCGACAAATTACATTTTCTATGCAAAAATCTATGAACTCATTTGACGTGAACTCTTCTCCTTTGTCAGATTGCATAGCTTTTATATAAAGATAACGTTATTTTTCGACAATAGCTTTGAATCTCCTAACATGCCAACATTTCTAATTTATCCTTGATAAAATAAACCTATGTTTTCAGCTGAAATTATCAATAAATAATAATAAATAACTATTCTTACTGACAGAACTTGACTTGATAGGTCTATAAAGATCAGTGTGAACAAGCTTTAGTGGTCTCTTTTCTCTCTCGAAGATTCATGTGGAAAACTATTCTTTGATTGATTGCCAAGAACACATCCTTCACAGAGGTTATCCGGATGTTTGACATGTGGCAATCCTTTCACCATGCTCTTCTGAGGTCTTAATCTCAAGGCATCAAAGTTGAAATGCCCTAGTCTGAAGTACCAAATCTAGTATGAATCTTTCAAACATGACTTCAAACATTTTTCAATATAAGTTTGAATGTTTAATGTGACGGAAAATATAGATACACGTGCAGCGGAAGCGAGCAAGGATCGAAATAACAATTTAGATGCATATTACAACCTAAGATTAAACATGCATGATCATACATTATGATGCTGAGACAAAGGTAGAGAAAATTACATACCTTTGAAGCTTTTTCAAAAACATCAAATGGCCAAAGGTTCTAAGAGTTTTCAATGTTTGAACAAAGGCCTTCTTAAATCGGCAAAATACATGCAACCATGTCAAAGTTCACCAAAAGCTTACAACACATACTCCACTCATGCATGGCATGGCTAAGTGTCAAAATGCATGTCTAAGTTCACCAGAAGCTTACAACTAGGTGAGCATATCAACCCGAAAAACAGAGCCGACCGACCAAAACCAACTGGAAACAGGTCGGTTAGTCAGTTTTAGCAGCAATCGATTCGGTGTCGATTATGAAAAAATCAGAACCGACAAGTCGGTTGGTCGGTGGCAGTGAACTAGGCGATGYCGAYYGACCGAYCRAATATGTATTWAWWAAAAAAAWTTWMMWTTTTTCCRGTTTTATAATTTAGTTAATAAAATAGTTAGGGTTTCTTTTTGGTTTTATCCTCACGCCGCCCCCACCCCCTCATTCTCAAATCTCACCCTCTCTGTCTCTCTCTCACCTGCATGAGATGTGTATAAGAGACAGACGCTACTCTAAACATTTTTAGTTAATGTCAGGCGAATCGTACCCAAC